AGTGCTCCCAGTACGCCTCCCCCTCCCCACAGCCCCACGCACCCACACTGGGGGACCAGGCCCCATAGGCAGGAGTGGCCCCCTGGTTCCAGGGCGTCATGGCGGGGGACATGTTCCCCATGGGGCTGGGAGCCGAGCCGAAAAACATCCCGGTGGCTGCGGGGAGAGAAAGTCAGCGGGAGGGACCCCAAAATGGGGGAGCCCCCCCCAGTCCCGAAGTGGGGACCCCAAAGTTGGGGTTCCCTTAAGGACCTGCTCACCCCCATCCCACTGCAGGGGTCCCAAAAACGGGAGCCCCTTCATCCCAACTTGAGGTCCCTACAATCGCACTGCAGGGAACACAAAATGGGCTTCCATGGGGGACCCCAATGCCTCTACAGGGACCCCAAAGTTGGGGTTCTATGGGGGGCCCCAGTTCCAACATGGGGTCACTACAACCCCACTACAAGGACCCAAAAGTTGGGGTTCTGTGGGGGCTCCCCACTCCCAACATGGGGTCACTACAACCCCACTCCAGGGACCCCGAAGTTGGGGCTCTATGGGACCCCCAAAGCAGGGACCCCAAAGCTTCCATCCCTCAGGGCTCTCCATTTGTCCAGCCCACCCTGTGAGAATCCTTCTTAGTTTTTTTTTGGCTCAAAGCTTGCTTCCTGAGGTTTTTCTTGTGATAAGACTCTGAGTGACTTGTCAAGGAGGCAGCTGATGGGTGCTAACTGTGTGACAATCGATATCGCTTTGGGAACATTTGCAAGCCCCTTCCCCCAGAGCTGCTTGCTCTGTAGAAGAGCGGAAGATCTGGCTTGTGGCCTAACCGTTCCAGCTAAGTATGGAAGGCTGGGGGATGATACCATTGCATCTTGCGAAGGCAAGATGCAAGTTGGTGCCTCCCTGCTTCCTCTTATCTGCTGGCAAGGCCAGAAAGATAAGAACAAAGGAGGTTCCTGCTGAGATCCCAGAGCCAGAAGCTGCCACCGCAAGGAGAACTGACTCAACCACCTTGGATTTGAGCTGTCACTCCAAAAAGAGCTGACTCAACCACTTTGAAGCATTGAAAAAGGGCCATCATCACCATGGTCGTCGTCGTCATTGGCAACAGGACAACTCTGCCTGACGACCCACCGCTACTGAGGATCAAAGACGGAACTACGAACCTCACTGGATCCATGGTGGTGACTATGTCCCTCTTGCTGCCTATAAAGACTCCTTGCTTCTTCTTTTCTATCTTTTCTATCGCCCTCCTTCCCTTCCCCCATTACCCTAATTCATAACAGTGTCCGTCCTCCCCTTCCCCGTTTCCCTGATTAAGATTTGTAATAAACTGGTTGGACCAACATTTGAACCGTTGCTTCTTAATCTCACACCAGGTATATAGATAATAAAAGAACCTCCTCTCCCTCCTATAAATTGGAGCGAGACACACCCCCACCCCGCTGCGGGGACCCCAAAACTGGGGACCCCTCAAATCCCACCGCAGGGACCCCCGAGCGTCACCCCGCACATCAGAGACCCCCGCAGCCCCCCAACGTCCCACTGCCGTCACCCAGCCATCAGACGGGCGGCTGCAGCCCCCAGCTCCCGACTCACAGCCTCCCACCCCCAGGCCAGGGATGGCGCTGGGGATCTCCATGCCGTGCTTGCACTTCTCAGCATCCAGCAGCAGGTCGAAGCAGCCGGTGCCGGCAGGGGCCAGCTGGCCCAGCATGATATTCTCCGACACCCCTTTCATCGGGTCGCTCTCGCCGTGCGCAGCCGCCTCCATCAGCACATCCACCTGCGGGAGCCCGGGGAGTCAGACCACAGGAATGGGGAGGGGGAGCCCGAAATCCGGCATCCCCAACCCAAGAATGGGGAGGGGGAGCCCGAAATCTGGTGTCCAAAGCCAGAAATGGGGAGGGGGAGCCCAAAAACCGACATCCCCAACCCAGAAATGGGGAGGGGGAGCCTGAAATCTGGCACCTAGACCACAGAAATGGGGAGGGGGAGCCCAGAAATGGGGATGGTAACCCCAAAAACCAACATCCCCAACCCAGGAATGCGGAGGGTGAGCCTGAAATCTGGCATCCAAACCAAGAAATGGGGAGGGGGAGCCCCAAAACCACCGTCCCAAGCCCCAGAAATGGGGAGGGTGGGCCCAAAATCTGGCATCCGATCCCAGGAATGGGGAGGGTGAGCCCAGAAATGGGGATGGTGAACCCAAAATCTGGCACCTCCACCCCAGAAAAGGGAAGGGTGAGCCCGAAATCCTGTGTCCGACCCCAGGAATGAGGATGGTGACCCCAAAAACTGACATCCCCAACCCAGGAATGCGGAGGGTGAGCCCAAAATCTGGTGTCCAAACCCAGAAATGGGGAGGGTGAGCGTGAAATTTGGCATCCAAAGCCAGAAATGGGGAGGGGGAGCCCGAAATCTGGCACCTCCACCCCAGAAATGGGGAGGGGGAGCCCAGAAATGGGGATGGTGACCGCAAAAACCGACATCCCCACCCCCAGAAATGGGGAGTGTGACCCCAAAAACCGACATCCTGACCCCAGACATGGGAGGGTGACCCTGAAAACCAACGTCCCGAGTGCAGAAGTGAGGATGGTGACCCCGAAATCTGGCATCTGACCCCAGAAATGGGGATGGGGACCCCAAAACCAACGTCCTGACCCCAGGAATGGGTACCAGGACCCCCAAAACAGGTATTATAATCCTCAAAATGGGTGCAGCAACCCCAGAAATGGGTCCTCAGACCCCGAAATGTGGTGCAGCAACAACAAAGCAGGCACAGCAACCCCAAAAATGGAGACTGCAGCCCCAAAAACGGGCATCATAATGAAAACAGCGGGCAAAGGAACCCCAAAAATAAGCATTAACCCCCAAAATGAGCAGAGCAGTCAAGAAAAGGGGACGGCGACCCCCAAAGCGGGCACTGTAACCTCAAGAAAAGGCGTTATAACCCCAAAAACGGGGATGGGGACCCCAAAATCTGGCACCTCAAACCAAGAAATGGGGATGGGGACCCCAAAAACCAACATCCCCACCCCAGAAATGGGGATGGTGAGCCCAAAAGCTGGCGTCCTGACCCGAGGAATTGGGATGGTGACCCCAAAATCTGGCATCTGACCCCAGAAATGGGGATGGTGACCCCAAAATCTGGCACTTTGACCCCAGAAATGGGGATGGGGACCCCAAAAACCAACATCCTGACCCCAGACATGGGAGGGTGACCCTCAAAACCAACGTCCCGAGTCCAGAAGTGAGGATGGTGACCCCGAAATCTGGCATCTGACCCCAAAAATGGGGATGGTGACCCCAAAAACCAACGTCCTGACCTGAGGAATTGGGATGATGACCCCAAAATCTGGCATCTGACCCCAGAAATGGGGATGGGGACCCCAAAAGCAGGTCTCAACTCCAAAAACAGGTGCAGCGACCCCACGGTCGGGGCTCGCAACCCCCCAGCCAAGGTGCCGTGACCCCAGAAATGAGCACCGCGACCCCGAAACGGCGGGCAGCCCCCCCAAATCCCGCAGCCGCCCCACGGAGCTGCTGACCGTCTCCTCGAAGGAGCACTTCATGAGCGGCCCGGTGTCCTGGCGGTTGACGCCGTGCCGGGTGATGGCCATCAGGTGCCCCCGGGATGTCATGGTGTCGCACAGCAGGGCCAGGTGACGGTAGTTGACGTAGGAGCCATCGAAGGAGATGACGTGGTACAGCTCCCGCTCCAGGGCCTTGCGCACCGCCTCGATGCCCAGCACCTGAATGGGGCGACACCACAGCGCTGGGCAACGCCACGACGACACCCAGCAACACAAGGAACCCAAATCCCAAAGGAACCCCAGCGCCACGACGACACCCAACACCATAAGGACCCCCAACACCACAAGGATCCCCAACATCCAAAGGACCCCCAACACCACGACACCCAGCACCACAAGGACCCCAACAACACAAGGAAACCCAGCACCCAAAGGACCCCCAACAACACAAGGACCCCCAACACCCCAACCGACCCCCAGCACCATAAGGGCCCCCAACAACACAAGGACCCCCAAATCCCAAAGGACCCCCAGCACCACAACGACAACCAGCACCATAAGGACCCCAACACCACAAGGAA